CCGGGGATTGAACTCAGGTCTGTCACTTGTCAAGCTTGTCAAGCTTTTGTCATAACCTATGTGGCTATCAGTCACTCTATAAAAATCAATTTTATTTGTCAAAAAATATTGTTCATAATATTTTAAAGTTGAATATATTATTTGTGTTGCTGTTTTGAGCTAAACTTTTTGTATCTTTGTTTGTTTTTATGGGCCATTTAACCATGGAGCCTACATGCATTTAATTCAAATAATACTTTGTTGTTGGCCGCAAACGAATAAAGAAATTAGTTAATTTTAACTCTCAAAAATAGTCAAAAATAATCTTAAATTAGTCAAACTTTAACTATTTACCCAGTAAAAAATAACTATTTAAAAGTGAAAACGACTATTTTATTAGTAAAAAATGCTGATACTAATTGAAATAGTAGAATTTTGACTATTTCATTTTAAGAGAGTACGTAGTTTTTTATGTAGATTCAAATATTATAAAAAAAATACATCGTTCCGTTGAAAAATCCAAAGTTACCCCCCGCCCCTCAAAATGGGGTGGAGGGGGTAAATTTCAAAAATATTGGGGTCCCCTGTGTCCTCATAACTTCACCAAAATTTCACAAAAAAATATTGAACTGTTTTCAAGATATTGTCTTGTAACACATTAAAAAACTCACCCTGTATAAAAAATAAGTCTATGTACAAAAATTCAAAAAATATATGAAACTTTGCTTAATTAGTGACCGTGGATAATATTGAATATGAGTATGGGGAGTAGGGTGAGCCAAAAAAACTAACCTATCGGATTTATGGGTTAAAATGAACCTACATACTGTGATGGGCACGAGGTGGGGTACCCCACACTCGAGTAAACGGCAGTAACCCAAGGAGATTTTAAGAATCTCGCGAATTCAAACATAACCTCAACAACTTCGAAATGTTGTCAAGTGTGGCCAAAAACGGTGTGATCATCTAGTCTAGTCGGAAAGGTACCTACGTTGTGTTATTTGAATTTGCTTCTAGATAGGAAGGATGCCAGAGAGAGGAAATTAGATTAAGTAATAAAAACACACAAATAATGGTTGTCAGCTTTATATTCATTGTATTTGAATATTAGTTTTAACAATAGGTTTTATCAAACGTTTTGAGATTATTAGTTTCAGTTAGCTTTTTGTCAATTTAGGGAATTTAGATTTACTAGTTTAATACGGTAGATTTATAGAAATATATATATATTTCCAAGTTTATAGGTTAAAGGGTTTTATTTCCAAAGTTTAATAAATGCAGATTCATAAGTATTATCAAGCCAAATGTAATATCAAATAAATTTATAATAATGATCATCAGTAACAATATATCAGCTCATTTTGTATAAACAGTCGAAACAGAGATACAATTCAATTTTATACAGCAAAACCTTCATTCTTATTAATACTATTACATGGCGCAATAAATAGAGAAACAGTAATAATATAGGTACAATATAGTAATCACAATTATGATCTATGATCTGGCATAGAAAATATAGTAAGAATAATAATAATAATATGTATGTAATAGTAAAAATAAGGAATATTAAGGTTTAATATATTTAATATACCTAATGATATCGACTTATGATACAAAATATATGAATTATAACGTCATTCTGAACTAGATAAATAAACCTTAGGAATCCACATTAAAATAATAAACTTGGTCAAAGCTTTACAACCATTTTAAATAATTAATTAAATTGATTAATATAATATTTATATCATACCTTGTATGTTTATATTCAAAAATACCTACAAATCTTGTTTAAAAAATCATCAATCTCTATATTTTTCAAATTCATTCGCCTACTACCATCAACAACCCTGTTACTCTAGGAGACCATTTTTTAATTACCAACTCAAACTAACAATCTTTCACGCTAAGACTCGATATAATTTAAATAAACTTTTAAACGTCTTTAACACAGCTGACTGATTGAAATTAATTTTCAATGTCATCTCATTCTGTCAATATGACTTTAACTAAGTGCGTATAGTTGGTTGTCACTTTCTTCCTTACGAGTATCAAAAGTCGGGCCAACACAATACCGAGCAAAAAATTTCCCTGCAAGGCAAAATTTTTTGCTCAATTTTAAAAGGTGTCGGTGAGCATTCTAAGTTTTTCATTGAAATAACACGTAAAAAAATCTTTTTTCATTAAAAAGACTATAACTTTTGAACCATTTGAGATAAAAATTTTTACGTCGCGGATTTTTGTAGAGCATAAAATTTCCCAAAGAATCTATACTGGGATTATTTTTTTTTAATTCAAAAATTCGTATGTTTGAAAGCTTTGAAAAGTGTAAAACTCAAACGGTTCAAAAGTTATAGTCTTTTTAATGAAAAAAGATTTTTTTACGTGTTATTTCAATGGAAAACTTAGAATGCTCACCGACACCTTTTAAATTTGAGCAAAAAATTTTGCCTTGCAGGGAAATTTTGTGCTCGGTATGTAGGTTCATTTTAACCCATAAATCCGATAGGTTAGTTTTTTTGGCTCACCCTAATGGGGACGTATGGCAGGCCCCATCGACATCTCCCAGGGATATTTTACTCCCTTTCAGTTCTTCTATATATCCCGGAATTTTGTCGTCGGGCCGGGTCATACGCCCCATTTAGGCTAGTGGATTGCGGGACAAGGAGGGAAAACATGTTGGCTTTTGGAGGACATCGAACTGACCCAAAACTAAGTACAATCCGAAGTCCTCCTCAACCAGGGATTTAGTAATAGCCCCATTCAATTGGGGCTCCTGTTCGTCTGTGTCCGTGTCTCTGTCCGAGTCGGATTCCGGTTCCTGTTAACCTCTTTAGAATTGTTTGCCCCCCTGTGAGATACTGAATCTTGTCTTCAGTACCAAATTCAACCCCTCATGCCGAGTACCGACTTCATAATATGCATCTGTTTGCCAGCCTTTATTTAACCTACTGAAAATGGTAACAGATACACACAAAATATTTTACCCCACTGTGCGTAAACTTATTTAATTCCATTTGTTTGGATGCGTTGTCTTTTTTGTGTTTAGGTTACGCACAGTGGAGCAGAATTCAAAAAACTTGGCCAAAATGACCAAAAAAATTTAAAAAAAATATTTTAAATGACATTTTAGTGCGGTACATCATGTTCTACTTAATTTTTTTATATCTTTAAAAAACATAACCTCAAAGTTTTGTCAAAAAATAATCGTTTTTTCTTAAAAATACCATTTTTATTTTCGATTCCCACATAGCATACAATCCAAGATATGACTCCACAAATGTCAAAGTGTGGTAATCTAATGACACTTACTTGACGTACGTACGTATTTGCTAGTTGGAGATATTTTTTTTTAATTAAAGATTAAAGAATTTGTACATTTTCTATACGTTTTCAAGAAGAAAGTGGCTAAGTCGTAAACTGTGGGGAGAATTGATCTCTTTTCCACGTTTAGTGTCCAATGAAACGACGAGATTTTAATTTCTCCACGATAGTATTTATCATTACTATGACGGTTATACAGTGGTTTATTTTTATTTTTTTAATTAATTGACTCCGACATTTGTCATCGAATCTGTGGTTATGGTAATTACACTAAATTGTACTAAATATATATTTCATCCTCATGGAAATTGCCAACTTTTTCAATTGTTGATCAATATGGTTTTTTAATATTTTGTTTGTTTGTTTTGGTTAGTTCGCCAAAATAAGCTTCAAATAAACCAAAGAAATAGGAATGCATAGACCAATACCGTTTAGTCCAGTATATTTAGGTTTTTTTATTTCAATTTATTCAGTAAGTAACATTTTTTCCGATCGTTTTGGTACCATATAGAAAGCTTAAATTTAAGTTTTTGACCATCAACCTTTTTCCGCCATCTTGGATTTGGGGGTAAATTCGCGAATAACAGCTGTATTTTTTATTTAATTGGAAAAATTATATAGTACAATTTTTGACAAAAAAACAGTTCTACAAATTTGTATACTTGATATTTTTTATTATTTTGCATATTTAACGAGTAAAAAATGTCAACCTTTTTTTATTAATTAATCATATATTGTATCACGAGAACTATGAATTTAATCGGTTAAACTAGGCTCAGTAGTTTTTTGTTTGGTTTTTGTTGGAAAATGTTGAATGCAAAATAATTAAATAAAATCACGAGACCGCGTAGCGGTCGAGGGGTTTTATTTTTAATTACAATTATTAATTATTATTTTGCATGAAACTATTTTCCAAAAAGAAAAATCAAATAAAAAACTTACTGAGCATAGTTTGACAGATTAAATTTATAGGTTGAGTGATATACGCCTAGATTATTTCTCGAATTAGGAAACTATTTGACAATTCATAAAATCTGACGTATGTGTCAAAATTTATAAATATTTTTTTTAAAGAAAATTCCATTAATTTAAGGTATGTAATAAGTAATAATTGATATTTCGTAAACTAGATAACTTATTTTTTATTGTTTTTTAAAAAATGTCTGTTAAAACTTGTAAATAACACCATAAAATCGTAAACAAAAATCCAATATGGAGGCTAAAATTTAATCGCTGTTAAATAGTTCTAGTGATTTAATCGCTTAATCGAAATTTATTCGAAAATTCAAGGCTTTTGATTTTGGTTCATATTATAATGAGGGGAATAATCGGTCATAATAATATAATATAATAACCCTTATTATTATTTTATAAGTTTAATCTAAATGGAGTCATTCTTTGTCAAATCAATTACGAATCAATTACGTAAATTCTACTTGGAATCAAAATTGCACTTTTATATAAATTGAATTCCAATAAACTAAACAATAAAAGATCCATAAATACATCAATTTATAATTTGTCAAATGCTGTAAAGTTATTGAGGTAGAAATAAGCTTATTACATAAAATCATCAATTACGTAAATTCTACTTGGAATCAAAATTGCACTGTTATATAAATTGAATTCCAATAAACTAAAAAAACAATAAAAGATGCATAAATACTTCAATGTATAACTTCGCTTTATTTTAGGAGCTTCATATCAAACTTCTAACGGCAGGATAAGACTTCGTAGATCCGACATATCAAATATTGAAAGAGCTCGCAGTAGAACGCTTCGAATGACGATTACAATAGTCGTTGTGTACATTTGGTGCTGCACTCCCTACGTTATTATTACTCTGTGGTAAGTACATTTCTTAATATTAAAATGTATTTTTTTTAAATAGACATTTCTTTTTTTCATTGCTTTTAACAAAGTATGTGTCCTCATGGATCTTGGCGCTCTGTAATCGTTTTTAACATATTATTTATAATAATATATCTACACAATATTAATGTAATTTTGTAGTGACATTAGATATTGTAAATAGGGAACATACGTATCCCGTAGTGCATTTACTGCACAGCATTACCTGTGTTTGGTGGATCCGAATTTTCACCCCGGCTGGTAAATCTCTCTTAGGTCGCGGATGATGGTTTCGATGGGCCGGACCATACGTCCGATTTAGGCTGGTGGGAAAAATATTTTGGGTTTTGGGGGAAGTTGTACTAAGAACAATTCGGAATCCCCATAAACGAGGGATTTAGTACTACAACCATTCAATTGGGGTTCATGAATAGGGTTTGGGTGGTTATATCGCTGCTTGGACCTATCCTTTATGGTCTTGAAGTACTACCTGTTCCTTTGCGGCCGTGTCTGCTAAAAATTAGTGTGCTGAAAGTTCGGGCACTGCAGTCCGCTATTGTTTGTTTGCCCCACTGTGCGAAACCATTTTTTCAGTCTGGGGTCGAGAACCATCGATAGTTAGTTTTCTGTAGTCGGCAATGTGACTACCGATAGTTCACAATAGTTTTTTTGTTTATGACGAATTATACGTAAATTATCTGTAAAGGAAAGTAAGTATTTACAAATTATTTGTCCCACTGTGCGTAAGCCTTAGCTTTATTTCAGTAAAGCTTATAGTGGTGTGTTGACATGTTTATTTTTATTGTCTAGGTGACTGCACTTTTTGTTTATGTTTGTTTAGTTTTGGTACTTGTGTTCTGTACCAATTTATAATACTAATAATTACGTTTGCTGTCCTGTAGGAATTCTCTTTTACCTGTTTAGCTGTTTTGTTTCTCTGGTTTAGATGCGTTGAAGACGCTTAACCTTTTCGAGAAAATGCAAGATTACTTTCTTAGGAGAGAATGCAACCCAGACAGCATCCAATTCAAAAAGATTTCTGTTTAAAACCGAGGTCAAATTATGACATCTTAGAGAAATCATTTTTAGGAGCTCAAGATTAAGAGTTCGTGATGAATTCATAAATGAGAAGTCAATTTTTTAATATCTTAAAGTATCTTTTTTTCTGACCTCTTATTGGAATCAAAATTAGAAGCTACTAAGGGTATCATAAATGAGACTTCAGTTATATGATATCTTACAGTATTCTCTTTTCTTACTTCTTACTGAAATCATATTATTAACTCTTTAAGACGTCAACGTGGAGACGTCACATTTATGACATTTTAATGCGATTACTTTCTTCTCACCGCTGTAACTGCTTGTGTTTGATATAAGAAGCGTGCTCCATACCAAACAGTCTTAGACCTAGGTAAACGGCTACCCGATACTGACGAGCTCCAAAAGAGCGAAACAGGCCGTGCCGGTGAAGAGCACGCTTGAATTTAAACAAAAGTGAGACGAAGTAATCGCAATTCTAAAAATAAGCAAATACGAGCAAATTATTAAAATGATTTTAATAAAATCAATTTAACAAATTCGTTTGTTCTATGGTAATAACTTGACATGTAAAAATAAGCAACGATTCAGTATGTAATTTTTTCATCAGTTCCCTAGTAGTACTTCTATATCCAAAACGGGAAATTCTAAAGAAGTATTTTTATAAGTTTATACAGTAGGACTCTTTAAAATGCTTAATTGCGAACTCAAAGAAAAGGGTTCCTCAAGAGTTATTTTTTGAGAAGTCTTGATTAGTTTAATAGGTCGCGCATTCGAAGTCTTAAGAACTTCTTAAAAACTTCTTTCTGATGTTGTATTTGACGTCAAAATCATAAAATAGAGCTTATGCAGACTTAATTAAGACGTCATATTGCTGTCTGGGAAGTTAAATCATCTCTCTTACATTCTTTACTTGTTGCATTGCACTGCCCTATGTATTACCGCTTTGCTGATTCTGTAAGGCAGGTACCTTGATTTACCTGCACAGGTAGTTACTTTGGGCTCTAATTTCGCACTGTTTACACTTGGAACTTAAATATCCTTACTCTTTAGAATCCAATGGTGTCTCAAGATTTGGTAAATAGGAAACATTACTGCAACAAAACTCTACGAGTATTTACAAAAAAAACTAAAAATAGAATAAAAAACATAATTGTTATTAAAATAATTTTTGCAATACTTTGGGAATGTTTTCCTTATAGTCCGTATATTTATGAAATATTTTATTTAAGTTAAGGTAACAAGTAAAATACCAATTACCATTTTTTATTCAAAACAACATTTTAAACAATACTTTACCCAGATAACAGTAAAATTACTTTATTTACTTTCGTTCTTTTACAAACTTCATAGTAAACATATTTTGTAAAAAAAAAATATTATTGTAATATTTAAAGTTTTGGCCAAAGGAAATGCTTTTTTTAAAGAATGGTGCCATTTTATTAATGGTTTTCTTTGCTAAACATAATTTATTGTAGAAGATTATCCAACAAAAGTAATTACATAAATGATTATTTATTTCGTATGGTATAACTATCGTTCCTATAATGTTCATGTAAATTTGACGCTAGTTTAATATGGACCTTTTTGTATCCATTATAATATGGCTTTAGCGACTCATCTTCTAAAGGCTAAAATATTAATTAATTCAGTTTCATTTAAATTTCCATCATCATTAACATGCAAATTTTGCATAATTAATGAAAAGTGATTTCTAGCTATTGCTTCAGACACAAGCTTATTATGTGTGTCTGAGGAATTTTTCCAAAACATTATAGTGTCAAGACGTTCAATATAAAACGTCTTGGCAAATTTACATACTCGCACAATAATAAAATACCTATATAACAACGAATTTCATTTGCAGTAATATTACCTGAAACGACATAGTTATTCGAATATTTGACGAGCATATCGATTACTTCATCTTATCAACAGTAATATCACAAGACTGAAAATAAATTGAAAATAATTTGACAGATATGTCGAAAACTTGTTGTCTGGCAATAGCCTTATGACAACAAGTTTGAGAAATATCTGAAGAATTATTTTCCAATTTATTGATGTCTCGTGTTGTATTCGAAAGATTATTTTTTGACGATAAAGAGCTTGCAAAATGGCATTGGTTTTAATTTTTTTATTACAAAAGTTAATAAATTACAATCTAAATTAAACTACTACTACTACTAGGTACTTATATCAAAATTAATTAGAAAGGAAATTTTGTATATTAAAAATACAATTATTATAAATGTTTTGTCCATTACTGGTGGACTTAGCAACCTTAATGTTTAGCCCGGTTGGGTTAATTCTAGATTCCTTTAGGCCATACTAGTATCTGCGATACAATTGCTGTGTGCAGTCCCGGTTGCATAGTATGTACCGATTGCGGCAAAGGCCACGTCGTTTGATGGTGTGGATCACCTGATGTTCTTACATCTCGCCTCTGTTGACTTAACAACCGAGCATATACATATAAGCTCAGGGAGTAATTTGTTTTGATTGTGTTCCACTACACCAAGTTGCCCGACACTGATGAGACCCAATAAAGGTCGAAACAGCTGTCTGTCGGTATTTGAAGTTGGTGGAACGAATTCAAAACAAAAAACTTTGGCGAGGTGTAGGTTCAATTTTTTCTTATGAATATTACCAGTCTGGGTCAAGAAAGTTTCTTAAAGAAACTAAGAAAATTGAATGTTTACCTTAATGTTTAGCCCGGTTGGGTTAATTCTAGATTCCTTTAGGCCATATTAGTATCTGTGATACAATTGCTGTGTGCAGTCCCGGTTGCATAGTATGAACCGATTGCAGCAAAGGCCACGTCGTTTGATCACCTGATGTTCTTACATCTCGATAGTAACAAAACCTTAAGATCTAGCTAAAGTAGAACATATGACTCTACATTTATCTCTGAGTAACCCCTATATAATATATAGTATATATTGTGGAATATAACTCGATAGTTCGGGTTCAAATGCATATATTGTAACAGAAGAACTTATCTGAAAAAGCTCGAATTAGATTTAGTGGACACTCAAATTTTGAGACGTCAAACTATATTTAGTGTACTAAAAATAACCCCTGCTCAAATTCCCCCTGAAGCGTAGATCAAAAATCCTATGTAAAAAAATCACTTCTTTGCAGCATCAAAAGAAAATTTGCCCAACGTGAAAAATAACTGTAAAACATTTATGTTAAAAAAATATGAATAAATATTGTTTTTTGCAAAACTCAAACGGCTGTCCCCAATTAAAAAAGTTTAAATTTTAATATGACATTATTGTAGAACGCCTTCTATATAGTTATCCGTATTACACTCAGCTTGTTTAAAGAAGTTAACATGAGAAAGGCAGTATACTTTAAGATTGATGATACCAAACAACATACCTTGTTGAAGGGTAATACTTTTTTTTATAAAAAGCTTTATTTTTCTTCCTAAAAAATATATAAAATACGTTTATCATTCTTTAAAGCCTTCTTTTTACCTTAAAATTACCATTTTCTAGAAGATTAGATACATTTAAAAAGCAATTTGTTATGTATACCCTAATTTAATAAAAATATATTTTTATGCCGAAAAAGCTTAAATAAAAATAAACAACAGCTTAGGTAAAAAAAACCTTCTATAAAGCGAGTTCATTAAATAAAGTCAAAAGCATACAAGAAGTTAATATGTGAAAACGACATGAGTTTGCGTGCCTTTACAAGGGCCATAAACGAAAATATAAACTGCTGCCTTTTGGTGTTTTTTGAATACTTTGTATGTTTTTAAATGCAAAATGTTTATAAGCGTACGAATATACAATTTTGCCAGGCTTTTTTTAAATTTGTATGGCACTATGTGTATAAGTTTGAAAATTGGATTAAAAAAATAAATGACTGGAAATTTAACTAACGAAATAACTGATTTATGCAGGCCGGATTTAGGAACTGTGGCCTCAAGGCTGAACCTGAATTTTTCATTGGGTGGTAAATACAGTTGTCAAGTTGGTCGCATTAATTAAAACAAACTAAGCTAGCTATAAATCTAATTGTGGTTATGTATAAATTATTGTAGGTTACATTGTGCAGTTGTCAAGTTGAGTTGTCGAAATTCGTAGTTAAAAATGCAATTAATTTGGCTTTGGTGGTGCCTGGATGAGTAGAATCATATAAAAAAGTAGTTAAATATAGGTTGCTTTACAGCCCAAAAGAGCGGATAATAATCTTCGCTTTGAAAAGAATTTATATAAAAGAAATTAAAATTTTTTGTGAACGTAAATGTTGTCCAATGGTGAATAATGTGAAAATAATGTGTGATGTAATATTTATAAAACCAAATTTGTTACTTTTTTACTCCAAAAATGTCCATAAGGCGATGTACTTTTTCTTCCATTGTGGCATTTGGCATTAAAATGAATTTTTGCCCTCAAAAGGGCTTTTACATTCGAATTCGTTGCTATTATTTTTGGCATAATTATCTTTTGATTTATAATTGACAAGTAAATTTACTTAATTTAATTTAATTAATTATCAATAATAAATATTATTGTCAATTTGACAGTGTCAAAGTATTTAATTAAATTCTTTAGCAGAAGTACCATTTTTAAATACTGGCATAGGCCACCAACCTAACAAAAAAACACGAGTCCAGATAAAAAAAAGTGAACTGTACGCCGTGGCGATTTTTTAATCTAATTAATAAAATTAACTTATTTTTATTAACCGACATTTTATGAACGGCAGTAAAGTTCTACTTTACTTTACTGCCGATTGTTGACTACTTTACTGCCGATTTTGGATAAAATATCTTTTAGGAAAATGTGTTTAAAAATATTATTTGTACAAATGTTTCAAACAAAGACTCAAATACGTAAAATGCATTTTTCTTCTTAAAGGTACATGTTTGACAGAGACAGTGCCAAAAGGCTTCCTGATTGGCTGCAGGATACCTTCTTCATGATGGTAGTTTCAAACAGTTGCATGAATCCCATAGTTTATGGCAGTTACGTTTTGAACTTTAAGAAATTCAGCTGTCAATGCTTCAAGAAGGGTTCCAGCGACATACATTTAAATGGTAAGTTCTTTTATATATTATCTTAATATAAACCTACCGTAACTCCAGGGTAATTTTATATTTTTCTACAAGTTGGCCTGAACATTTTTTTTGGACCGATATATTTTTTGAGGGTTGAAAATATGTTTCCCTTGGTCATCCTAATGAAGTTTGATCTCAGGTTCTTAAAATAAACACAAAAAATCAAAAATTTTGTACGAAAAAAAAATAGGTAAAAAAATCTTTCAAATTTTGGTCCACAACCTGCGTTCTGCAAAATATATCCTTTAATGTCTAGTTTTATACGAAACTAGTACCTATTTAGTTCTGAAATATTTTTACTATAAAATAAAAAAAAATATATCAATTTTTTTGGAAACGTGGGGTAACATTGAACTGCAGGATTCAGCGGGTCTAAGCGACATCGCTAGTGATCCATGCTAATATTGTTGTCTGCCGTGGCTAAGAATATTATAAAGACTGCCGTTCATAATTTTCCCTTATTTTTTGTTATTTTACTTGCGAATTACAAATTTGTTTAGTCTAGCATAAGATTTTAATACACTGTATTAAGTTATAATAGGGGTGATCCAATTAGTGCTTTAGGATTTTAAAACAAAATAATACACAAACATTGTTGCAAGGCCAAAGTATTTTGTTTTTATTTGAAAGACTAACTAATTACAATTATGTTTTGAAAATAATATCGGTCAAATGTCCTCCACGACTTTGTTGACAATAGCGCATTCGAATAGTCCAATTTAACATTACCTTTTCACACATTTGGACCGGTATCTCACGAATAACATTTCTGATGTTGGTTTTTAAATCCTCAATTGTTCTTGGATTGTTAGCGTAGACCTTCGACTTCACATAACCCCACAGGAAGAAATCACACGGCGTTAAATCACAAGATCTTGCTGGATACATTACAGGGCCATTTCTTGAAATAACTTTTTCACCAAAGTGCTCTTGCAATAACTCCATGGTTTCGTTGTCGGTGTGGCACGTAGCGCCGTCCTGTTGGAACCACAATTGTTCCAGTTGATTTTCAATAACAATTGGCAAGAAATAGTCGTTCAACATTGCCCAATAACGAACTCCGTTTACCGTAACACGCTCTCCTTGGGCATTCTCGAAGAAATAAGGCCCAATGATTCCACGCGCATGGATAGCACACCACACTGTACACGGAGAGAAAAGTATAATACTGATTACCATAATTATAATACCCTTTACTATATTATATATTACTATTTGGGACAACTATCTTGTATATTGCCAGTTACTATGCATATTTAGTAATTTTTAAATATCCATGTATATTAAACCTTAAGGTTATTATTCTCAACCAATTTTGTTTTTAATTCTTATTATAATTAGATAGTAAATTTTAAAAATAAATATAATAGATACGTAACCCTTAACAAACTAAATAGTGTATTTTATTATTTTGTATAATACATTTAATTAAATCATATAGTAAATATTACTATTTGTAGATAGTAAAATCAATTTACTATACGAATATATTTAAAATTAAAATACGTATTATACATTTTTGATCTAATAATATTGGTGTTGCAATCTTTACTAAAATTGTATAATAAAAAATACTATTTCGTATTACAATCTTTATATTTTACTGACGAATATTTAATATTGTTAAACTAAACATTTTTTAAAGTAAATTTTAATATATTTTTTTAACTATCTAAAATTTACTATACATTTCTCTCCGTGTAACCTTTTCTGGATGCAACGGCGTTTCTTCATATGCATCAGGATTCTCCTCACCCCAAATTCTGCAGATCTGCTTATTAAGATAGCCGTTTAAAAAAAAATGAGCCTCATCGCTGAACATTACAGTAAGATGAAAAAACGGTTCTTCAGTCAAATGTTCGATCGCCCAAGCAGCGAAATTACGGCGACAACGATGATCATTGGGCTTTAGTTCTTGAACCAATTGAATTTTGTATGGATGCAAACCTAAATCCTTCCGTAAAATCCTCCAGGTTGATCCATATGTAAGGTCCAATTGCTGAGAACGACGTCTAAAAGACAAATTTGGATTATTTTGAACACTTTGTCTTACAGCTTCAACATTGTCTGCATTTCTCACATTTCTGACACAATTTGTTCTTAGATTATTCAACAATGTAAACTCATTTTTAAATTTCTTCACAACATTACGAATTGCTTGTTCACTTGGTCGTTAATGTGGACGTAATCCGCGCCAAGTTGCCTTTACAGAGCTTTGGTTTTGATAATAAATTTTAATAATCTCGCAACGTTGTTCTGGTGTTAAATGTTCCATGTTGTTTTGTAATAACCTAACCTACAAAACTGTCAAATAGAAATAAATTTCGCATGTACAGTGTTGCCAAAATTTCAATTTAAAATCCTAAAGCAATAATTTTATCACCCTTTAGTATAGGTTGCGTGATATAATCTTGTAACTTCTCAACGTCTTGACCAATTGAGGTCATATTTCCAAAATATATTTGTATTTTCGAGACGATGGTTCATAGCTGAATAGGTGGCGCTGTCTTCTAAATTCCATATTAGTTCATTTATCCCGGTGCATTCGCCATTTGGCAACAAAGCACCGCGAAGCCGAGCTCGCGTGTTAACAGTTATATTTATTTAAGTTTTAAACGATTATGTTATCGAGCACTTTCGAGCGGTTTTTGAGCATTTATAAGCATTTTTAAAAGTGCTCATCATAAAAAACATAAATATAAACAAAACGTCAATAAAACAATATTTTCAAGTTTTCATCTGGGCATTCATAGACATCTTCATCATTGTGGTCGATGTGCTAATCTTCATTAAAGATTTGAATCATCCATTATAAAGCTGAATCGCTATGCCATTTCTCCTCCAATAAGGTACTAAGTAATTGTATTAAGCTATCTAACTTTTTCTTTTTAATTTTATGGCCCAAGGTTAACTTTGAAAGATTAACTTACGGGACTTTAATAGGGTTTCCTATTTATTTAGGTATCATAACCCGTAACCGGTACTGTGGTGTCTGGGAGACACTCATCAACGAACAAAGCGCTGTCACACCCTCACCTTTTGTTTTAAAAATCTGTCGCTTCCAATACTTTTAAGTTGGGCAGTTATCAATATGCTCTTAGACTTCGAACAGGTTGGATTGTCAAACGGACAAATTATTAGGAGTCAAAATGTTGAGGTGTCTGTTAGACCACTGCGTACCGTTTACGTAATTTTTATAAAACAATTAATTCGTTATGAATTCGCAACAAGGGCTTTCTAAAGGTGTCCAAAGTGATAAGAAGGGCTTAAAGGAAACTGTACTTTAGTGGTTTTATGAAATCGACAGCGATATAAGTGATATAGATGACTGTAGTATACTACATAACCATTATAGTGATTATGTCGTTGAAGATAATCACAGCAGCGATTCAGGACTTGTCTGTGAAGATTTTATAGAAAATAATTTTATAGGGTCAGATAGTGAAGAATTTGAAATTTTTTAAGAATTTGAAAAAAAAAACAAAAAAATATTTTTGCTGTTAAAAAAAGATATATTAGAATTTTGTTTGTTTATTTTATTTTTTAAGGTATATTCTTCGAAATAAAGATCGTTTTATTTTGTTTGGTATAATATATTTTATAGTTTAATCACAAAGTTTGCACTACTGAACTTTTCCTACATGTTTTGATTAAAACCTATTTGTTTAAATTTTTCTTTTATTTAGGTATTATTTTTGGTGATATTCTAACTTTATATATAGTCCCTAGTATCCCCAAAACCTCAGATAAAAAAAATAATATAAATAATAATTTTAAAAGGTAGGTGTCTCTCAGACCCCTTAGTACCGTTTATGACCTAAAAGTCGTACCGTACCGGTTACGGGATAAGATAGATAAAAATTCACTGTTTTTACCAAAGTTTGAAAGATTTGCTCTTTTTATGCACATTTCCGCTAGTCCTAATTATTTTTTTGAAGAAATTTAAAGTATTTTTTCAATTTTCGAATTTATCCTATTTGGAATATAGTTTTCAATATTTTTAAAATAAGAAAGACAACCTCTATGTTAAACTAAAAGCGCATATGTCCGATGATATGAATTTTGTTTATCTAGCTGATTTTAACTATTTATTTCCACACGGACAAGAAGCTTTTAAATCATATAAAAGATTGTTAATCTTCAGTATTTTGCGATACAAAATTAAATTTTAGAACAAAAGGTATTTTGCAAGTCTGTTCCTCAATTATAAAATAAATCGCATTTTAACCAAAATACAATATGTAGTTATCAATAAAATTTGTTTCCAATAATTACACCAAATTTTAATTAAAAAATTAATTAATATCTGTTTTATTAATTTTTAAAAGCTTCGGATTTTTTTATTGCTGTTAAATTAAATAATGTGTAAATTCTTATACAGCGTGTCCCGCATAACTTTAAGAAACTTATTGCCTCAACATAAGATTACGTGTATAACGTAATTTTGTGTTGAGACAATAAATTTCTAAAATGAATTATGCTAATAAAAAAATCACTGTTTTAGTGATTAATGACTTGAGTAATCCTGACCCTATATTAAACTTTAAGCATAAGCATTCCTCAATATTATATTTATGTTAAAAAATTTTAATTAGTTTGTTTTATGAATATTTGTATATCTACAAATAATAGTTATTTATGCCAATGGGTACATTTTATCATTAATTCACAAACTTTATTTGTTAAACGATACATTAAACGTCGAATTATTTAAAGTATAAATTGAGGTTAGATTGATGTGACAAAATTTAATTTTTTTATTGCTTACTTTAATACATTTTTACGGCCTAGGCCATAATATTGATTGAACTTTGAAATTATTATTGTTACGCTTATTTTTTAATTAATCAGCTTTGAAACACCCATTATCGTATATGTTTTCATGACACTAAGTGACCTTTTAAATACACTGTATGGCATTTTACAGGTTTTTAGTCTGAAGTTAATTTTAAGTTAGTTGACAGTTGTAAAAAGTTAAATCGTTAAAATAAAGTTCCTTTCTTGTAAAATAACACGAAATGTAAAAATTATTGTATTATCTCAATAAAAATAAAAAGTTTCTCAACGCCAATATTTGAAAAGTTTATGTGAACATTGTACGGACCTTTTAATTTCGCCGGCAGTAAACTGGATTTAACTTAATTGTGGGTGGAACTCCACTGTGGAGTACCCATAAAACATTTCCTTTACTGTGAAAAACTGTTGTTAGTCCATTTTCAGGGATACATTTCGATTTACATATAAAAATTTGACATTTTCAACGGCGCGCTGGTAATAAAGATTCTAGTGAAGGGAGAATCGAATGATTTTTAGAATAGAATACTTTGCATTCGAATAATCTGTCTTCAATTCGTTATGGGTTGAGCGGGTTGGTGTCGCACTGGCTGCAATATAAATTCTAA